TCCCTAGCCGACATTGATTGCTGATCCTCTGGACGTCTACCATAAGTTAAAATTCTTTGTAGTGGCCTCGCAATCCAGTGAGGCCCCCATCCCAGTCTGCTTTCTATTGTATATCTCTGTTTCCCCACTAGATGGCCAGCCCTGGGGGACACCCCTGACACCAGGCAGAACTCTCCACTCATAGTAACTCTCTCGATGACTGAATGGATTTGAGTTGGGTCATCAGGATTTCAGCGGCATAGGCATGGCCAACTGGGAATCAGAATGGGTTGGAAAGGAAAGGCCAAGAGGTGGAAAGCTTACTTCACAAATTGCCCAGCCCTGCTGGGATGTCATTTGATGGTGTTTCTCACATGTCTGTGTCATCCTTAGAAAATGAAATAGCCAGGTGTTTACCACCAAAATGAGTTTATTCGGGAATAGCAGAGAATTGCAATTCAGGACCAACAAGCTATGTATGGTAAGGCCATAGGCAAGTCTGTACAAGAGGAGCATTGTTCAGAGAAAAGGGGGGAGTTGAGAAGGGCTTTTGTAAATATAATGTCCATTGGAAGAAACCTGACGTTCGAAGTGTAGTGGCTTCCCATTGGCTGAGTCATGGCAGTTTCTCATTGGCTGGGTCTGTTGCTAGGCAAAGAGAAAACCTTCCTTCCTTCTATTGGTGTAGTAATTTTCTTCCTGGCAAGAAATGTAGGGTATGCTTCTTTCTGTTGGAGTCTGCAAGGTGCAGTGAGTGAGAGCTCCCTCTACATGACTCCGTTTTATATGATGTTTCCTTGTTCATTTCCACACCTGTTTGGCACAAAGCAATGGTTCTTTACCTTGGCTGCTGCTCAAGCCCAAACCAGACAAATTAAATTAGAATTTCTGGAGTGGGGCTTAAGCAGAGAGATTTCTCAAAGCATCCAGCTGATTTCATAGGGCATCCAGCTGAGAACCCGGGCATACGGAAATGAGAACTTTCAGAGACCTCCATTCTTTCATGACCCAGAGGTCACTGCAGAGTCCTGCCAAACAGATAGCAGACAAAGGGAGGGAATAAGTGAGGGTGAGTTGATGGCTAGCACCAATGTGGACAACGACGTTAGGTGGCTTGTCTCCTGTCACACCCGCTACACACCCTGTCATCTGGAGCTTTCCATGAAGCCAGGACATGAGCCGGGGCAGGCTCTGCAGTGCTAGTAGAAGAGGGACTCCGGACGGCAACCGGAGAAAATCCACATTCAGGGTTGTCAGTCCCGCTATTGTCCCCAAACAGCAAAGTCCCCCAGTCAAACCGGCCCACAAAAACAGAACCACCATGCAGCTGGGTCGTCACACACGCAGAGTGACTCCCAGCCATCGTGCCCTCACTGGAGAGGTCTCCTGGAAGGGCTTTCCCCTGGCAAAGCATCCGTTTTTCTTCTGTTGCCAATAAAAATTGCAGGCGCTGTTCTTCCTCCTTCGCTTCCTTCTATTGCTTCTGACAGAGTTTGCCAGTTAGCTGAGGTCAGGGCTTCCTTTTTACAAACAACCTGCTTTCAGTCAGCGGGGCCAAAGGTTTCCTAAATTACAAACCCTTTCATTTCTTCTGCCACAAGTTATCCTGTCAGTTTGTATAATTGCGCATAACGGAGGGAAATGGAAACAGTCTGAGAGACACTGAACAAAGTGCTTTTACTAACTTGCCCCTGTTGGGTTGTCAGACTATCCTGAGCGAGATGGACAGGGTGGTTCCAGCTGAAGCTCTTGTAGCTGCGCCTAGTGCGGGTAAATTCCAGAGTCTGGAAAGAAATTTCTTCCAGGTCTTAGCACACAATGTCTGTGGCATCATCTCTACATTCTGTTAGGCAAATAGCCTCGTCTGTGTTCATTTGAATTGGGAAACATCCATGTCATAGTCAGATGTTTTGAAAAGCAAATTTAAAAAGTTACTGTGAAATGCGTGTGTATGTGACATTTGTAAATGCTGATTGGAAGGCAAATTTTAAACCAACCTCTGGAAAGATGATATAGAATTGAGGTGCTAAGGTTTAAAAGAAAAAGCATTCAGACATCACTGGACAATCGTGCTGACTGTAGACGGGACGACAAAATATCTTAAAAACTGGAAGTGCTGCCCGAACTCATCCTGCTAGGTCATGGTGGAACTTGGGGGCCGAGCCGGCTCTTACTGACCTGAGAGCTCATGACCTTTTCATGATTCCGTATTGTACCCAAGAAGTCGGTTGGGGTTGTGCCTCTGCCTTATTTGGCTGTGACTCCTTGGGCAAAGCATGTAACCTGTGTTTTATAATCTGTAAAATGAAAGGGGCTCAACCAGACGGTACTTAGACGTAACACATGAAGTCTAGTGTCGACTCGTCGCCGCGGGGAAGGGCTCCTGAGCGAAATTTCTGTTCCTGTCCTCTTCCTTCTCCCGCGAAGGGGGAGGAGCCCCACGGCGCAGTGACGGCACCGGGTCTGAACTCGGACTCTGAGGCGCAGGACGTGAAAGCCCTGAGCTCTCCCTCCCCGGCGCCGTGGACCCACTCTGCACCCCGGCCCGACTCTGCACCCCGGCCCCACTCTGCACCCCGGCCCCAGCGTCTTCGCCCGCCTACTCCTTTCCTCTCCAGGTCCGCTCGGCTCCTCCCCTCCCCCGCTGCCCAGGCCAGCTGTGGCCTTCAGGTCTCCGCTCAGGCTTCGGCTCTTTGGGGACTGGTTTCCCGCCTGCCCGGGCTACTCCCCCCGCCCCCACTGCCATCAGGAACGCGTGCTGAAGCCTGTTCTGTCGTGGTCACTGATTCTTTTACAGTAGCCGCCGTCCCCATGCTTGAGGGCCGGAACGAGACTTTTTCATCTTATTTTCTTAGACTCGGCCAGAATAATGCAGCGCCTTTAGAGCCGGTCTCTGCAGCCCAGGAGCGGGTTCTTCAGGAGGGGAGAAAAATGAGTGTGAATACTTAGCATAATAATAGGCAACATTAAATAATACGCCCAGGCGTCCCAAGCACTTTTCACGCATTAACTCATTTGGTCCTCAAAACAACTCTGAAGTAGGGCTTCTCCCTTTTTACAGATGGGGAATGAGGTCACAGAGGGGTTGAGCTTGGTCAGCTAAGACAGGGGAGCTGCGGTGGGAACCCAGGCTCTTAACCGCCAGGCCACATGACCCCACGGCAGGGGCAGGAGCCCTTACTCTGGAGGTGTCCACGGTCCTCTCATGTCTCGCCGCTCGCCCCATCAACCCATTAGCAAGCCCTGTTGTCACTGTCCCTAAAAAAGCGCGGACTTCTGTGTCCCCATCCTAACCTGAAGCTGGCCATGGCTCCCCTGGACTGACCCGTCCCCCCACTTCTCTTGCTGTTCTCACCCAGCCGCCAGAGCGATCGTTTCAGAGTCTCCGACTGGGTCACAGCCCTGCGGAAAGCCCTCGGTGGCCTCCCGTCCCATTTAGAAGAGCACCCAAAGCCTCCCACGACCTCAGGTTCTTCCCTGGGAGTCTCCATTCCTTTCCCGTCATCTCTTCTTGGACCCATGGGCATGATTTGCACTCCTAGGACGGAACGCATGAGCGCATCCTCCCCTGAGGCCCTCTGCCTGTATGCGCTGCCCCCGACCTTCACCGCTGCCCCCGACCTTCACCGCTGCCCCCGTCGTAGCAGTTGGTCTCAGTTCAACATCTCAGTTCTCTCCATCCTTTCCAGGAAGCTTATGCCCCGTCACTTACCCACATCACCTGTTTGAATTTTCCATAAGGAATGTTTCTAACTTATTCATTCGGTAATTCATGTCCCGTCTGGTCTCACCTGGTCCAGTGTCAGCACAAGCCTCAGGAGCAGCGACCGGCTGCCTCAGCACCTAGGACCATGTCCCCCATGGCAGGGATCCAGTGAGTCTTTATGGAAGGGAATAAAATAATAGGAATTGCCAGTCAGACTATAGACATTGGGAGGAGGAGCTCACGGTGCGTGTCATGACGGGGAAGAATGCTCTGCGAGGGAGAAGGTGCTGGCGCGGGGCGTGGTTTGGTGGATTGAGGGGGGAGGGTCACGGCTGACAGCGGCTCAGTGCAGAGCAGAGGTGAGGCAGGGATGCTCACAGGTTGCTTGGTCCATGAAAGGGCCCGGTTAACGTGTACTGAAGGCTCGTTCAGAACAGTAGTGAGAGGGAACGTCGGAAAGAACATAGACTCACTTCGGAAGCTCCAGAATGCTGGCTAGAGACATCGGGGCTCTAACCTGCGGTTAAAGAGGCCTAAACATTCCGGCTGGGGGGTGTCATGTTAAAAGCGGTGCTTTAGAAAATTCATCTTTTGAGGGTATGCCTTCCATTTTGCCTGTTTTCCATACTTTCTTCACCTGAGATCTAAAAATCCCTTCAGTCTTTAAAGACGTTCCCCAAGCTTTTTTCATTCTCAGGGGGTCTGAGCATGCTTAGACACTATTACTCCAGCTTGGCCCACTGTGTGAATAAGAATGGAATATCATAGGCCTGTTGGTGGGTCAGACAACTGCATGTTAGTGTCACGTGTTTGTATGAATGTTGTGTCTAAAATGAAATCCCAGGAGGAAACAAGTTGTGCCGTCTTATAGCTGTCTGCCATTAGTCAGGCCAAATTTTAGAGGTCTACATTGTGGGCATTCTTTATAGATAGAACTGCCTAACATTGCTGTCCCTCGGGTACTTAAGTGGCTAAATCTATGCTCTGCCATCCAAGATACTTAATGTTGAGTTCTGTTCTATAGTAGATAAATGTGAGTGAGAATCTAGTTGATGTAGTTTCGAGGAAGAGCTTTTCCATTCGTCTGTTCTTACAGGGATCAACGAAACAGCTGTTAGGCTTCCACGTGCGTCCATGAAAGATCTGAAAAGGCCATCACTGCCACTGCTTCGTGCCACTCCCTTCCCTTGGACTCAGCATTTTGATGCAACCAAGGTCCTGCTTATCAGGCAGGTAGCAAAGAGGTAAGAAAATACTGACATTCGAGGAGCTTACAGTACTTCACAAATCAGTTTTATTAATTTAAACACAAAATTAATGAAGAAAAATTCTGTACACAATTGTGGACACAACACACCTTTATACAGTAAGGCCAAGATAAACTTTTCAATCTGCAGAGTACAAAAACGTAAAATGGAAAAGGCTAAAAAATCATCAACTTCTGTTTGCTTCAAGCAAAAAAAAAAAAAAAAAATTGTTAAACAATTTGGAGAATTCACAACTAATTCTAGCAGCAACATGAAACTTCAGAAAAGGAATAGAGTAGCTCTTTAGCTACTTTGGATCAAAGCTGGTGTTTTTCTCCTCAATATTAAAGAGAATTCATCCAAAAAGTAATTTCACGACAGTGGAAGTCTTTATGGATAAATGAGTACCCAAACTGACGACTCTCTGAGAAACTGTTTATTTCCCATATTTATGCTTGTCATGTAATACATGACATAGGTGGAGAGTAAAGTTATTTCCTTGGTGATGATGACTGAGCCATGTCCACTGCCGGCAATGAACTTCCCTGGGAGGGTGGGGGGAGAGTGTGCAGGAAAACAGACGTGAATGTGGGGAGTCATGCAAAGTTTCGCTGATCCCAGATATGTGGCGATGTCCTCTATTTAAACAAGAAAATGCGGACACTATAATCTGAGCACATGAAAGCTTTGCTAGTCTCCAATTCATGAACCATTTTATTAATAAAATATATCATCTGCCTTCTTTGTGGGAAGAAGCATTTGAATAATCATTTTTTTTCCCAAGTAGTTACATATAATACATTAATGTTGAAAATGAAAAAGTGAGGATGTAAGAGAACTTTCATTTCACATGATTTAAGACACTGCTGTATTATTTCCCCGAGGCCTTTCTAACAGCATAAAAAAAAGAACTGATGTAAAAATTTTGGAAAACAAAATCCTATTAACACTTGACATCCATGCTTTTGGTCTTGACAACATTATTATCTAAAAAAAACAAACAAACCCCCGTTATCTACATATTTATACCCAGTATACTTTGATAAGGCACTGCACCTGAGTTTGTGCACAGAATGCCTCATACTTCGCTATCAAGGCATTGCTACCTTTCGATATCATTTTCTAAACAATATGTAAAAGAATCATCCATTATTACAAATTTACACCAAAAATTCTTTCTGTACATGATTGTCTCAGTGATGTACATATTATACGTTTAAATTAGTCATAAACTACTTTGCAATGTGCTAAAATTCAAAGTACTTGCTGTGTCACGAGGCAAAGGCCTTTAATCGCTTATTTCTTAACGCTATTGTCTCTTCAGTTATTTGATGCCAAAAAAAAAGTCTGTTTGAATTAGATGGTACTTGGATTATACCTCAATAAAGCTGTTTTTTTTTTTTTTCTTAAAAAAAAAAAAAAGTCTTCATAAATAAGTACAGATGTACAGATTACCCTGGGTATGAGACACCGAAAAGTAAACCTTCTTTCCAGGAGAATTCCCCCACTGGTTTTCAGGGAACACACTTCAGTCTCTGTTGTGCAATCGGGTCTGCTGTATTGGAGAAGCCGCTGACGTCACATTGACGATGCTAACAATCTGGGCGTTTGCAGGTCCTTCTTCACAGGTTTGAACCATGTAGTTAACGTGGCAAAGACACATGCTGTGCTAGAACATTCTCATGGCTTATTTTCATTGGATTCACAGTACTAGAGTCAACAGCTGTTCTGAAGGAAGAGACGTGGTCCTTCGTTTACCGCGACGGCAGAGGTGGAGGCCGACGGCAGCTGCGCGTCAAGATGTCGAGACCGGTGAGTTCGCTAGTGCGGCGCCGACACGAGCTCAGGCCTGCTGGATTTGTTCCTGGTCACCCAGCAGCTGTGCGCTCGAAAGTGCTACGTGGCGGTCACAGGTACTCCAGTTCCAAGGCGTGATGTAGGGCCATGAGGTCCGAGTGGCTGGAGATCCTCCAGAAGGGCATGGCGTGCTGGGAGGGGCAGACACATGGTGAGGACAGAGCGAGCTCCCGGCGCCCGCCCCGGCCCCGCCTTCGAAACCCCCTGCGATGCTCATCCCTGTTCTCGGGGCTGCCGGCTAAGATCTCAGTGTCACCTCTGTTTGAAACAAAAACGCAAACTCGGTCCTCCCCTAAGAATACCAGACTGCACTGAAAAATGTAATCTGGAGTCTGTTTCTTTTAAGAAGTTGACGGATATTTCCTAAGTAGACCTACACCGGGTAGGTCTTCTACACGAAGAATGCCAGTTCTAAGCTCTAGAATACAGTAGCTGTGACTGAAACTTTGTCAAAAACAGTTGCCTTTCGAAGTATGTATATCCGGTGGATTTTTAATGCTGAAAATCTAAGCAGTTTTCCTTAGCTGGTAGTATTTTACAGCTTTCAAAACTGAAGTTGCTTCTTACATAAGGAAAAAAATTATTTTCACTTATTTCCATCAGGCATTCTTTGTGTCAACCTTAAAATGGCTTTACTTTACCATGTGGGAGAATTTTACATGAACATCTGAGGTGTTTTTTATCTAAAAGGGAATGTTTGTGAAATACCTGAATTAATCAGATACAAACAAACAAAAAAACCAGGTTGCTTCATCCATTGAGGAAGAAAACATGATTATAAACTTTAACTGCTCAAAAGCACTGCAGTAAGTACTTATGTATTAGCAAAAGCTTTTTCTTAAGTAAGAGCAAGATAATTATCTTTCAGAGGGAACATTCTACGTGGTGCCTAGAAAGACAGTTTTCATTTTTTGCACACATATAATGTGAAGGCCTGAGTATAATTTGCAATTATAGTTCTAAGGAATTGTTAAAAAATTCAGACTAATAGAATTTGATATGGAAACTGGAATTGAGTTTTGGGGGGATTCTCTGTAGGTAACGATGGAAGCTACTCACTATTTTGGTATCAGTCACACAGCTGTTACATTCTGGGAATGCAAACTTTTAAGTCCCTTATTAACCGCATCTTTGTCTCAAGTAATCCGCTAAAAGCATATATCATAGTCTGTGTCACCCTTCGATGACAGAATAGTCTAGAATCCAGTACTAGAAATCTGATTAATTTTCAAATTTTTAGGATGATTCACTTGGCCACCTATCAAAACAGACTGTCCTATTTGCATCCAGCTGTTCGAGAGGGAATCTTTTGGACCTGCAGGCATGGTGTAGAAGATGCCCTGGCCCGCCCTGTTGGCCTGTGAGTGAGTAGTAGGAATGCACACTGATGAGTGGTCACCTTTGTGCGATGGCAGGAGTGGGAGGGGCTGTTCCTGATAAGAGGAGGTGACAGCTGGGCTGGGCATGGAAGGGTGACCCTTCAGAAAGCACTCGAGTGGTGGTGTGTGTTTGGGGGCAGAGAATACAGGAGAGATTCAGCGTTAGGATACTGGCTGTGAGAGAAATACATGGTTAGTGACATGACTGGATGCAGGACCCAAACGAGTAAGTATGAACACTATTTTACTAGAGAAAAGGAAAAAAAAAAAAAAAAACCAGAAGAAACACTCTTAAGTAACAGCTGGTAAGGAGTAAACCCAAGAGTCATAGCAGGTTGGGTGTGTATCTGAAGCCCACATGCTATGATGCCTCCTGTTCTCCGTGGCCTTTTCATTCAGCAGTGTGAATTATCAGCACCATAGCACAGCTTCACACACACCCTCGCTTCCATTCTCTTTGGTAAGGGGCACCGAAAGATTCGACTGTGATACACAGATCAGTCTTGAAAAATGTTTGATCGATTACAATAAAGATTCCCTTTTAATCTAATTAGAAATCTGTGTATTATAAAACATTCTTAAAATGTAGAATAGTATAAAGAAATACCAATCGCCTCTAGTATTTCACACAGTACGGGGATACTTCATTTCATTGTGCTTCACAGATGTTGCATTTTTTACAAATTGAAGGCGAGACTGTCCACCAGTAAGATCAGAATACTTGCTTTACCGCGATGGCCCAGAACCAAGCCCAGTGTCCCCATGGCACATCTGCTCACTTTACTATTACTCTCCAGCTCATTTTGACACATTTTTAAGGAAAATCATTATTTTAAAAAGTTTGCAAGTATTCAACTGTACAGTGTGTTTTTACATTTAACCATCTACTTGGTATCTATTTTTAATGTTCCTTTTTTATTGCTAATTAGGTTTTTCTTAACTTTTGTATTTTCTTTAATTGGCCAGATTCGTTGCCCCTCCCCAAAGCTGCTTCTCATGAACAACTGAACAAAGCTGTCCAGAAACTTTCAGGACAACTATCTTCAAAAATATAAATTCTTTTGCATGCCAATTATCTGATTAAATTTAAGCATGATTCCCACGGACAATTCAAATGGAAAGCTACTGGTATACTCAGGAGTATGTATTGCAGAATGTGACGAGTGGCTGAGGAAAGGGAACTGAAAACCATCCAGCTAGTTCTCTGGTACATGGTTAAGGTATAAATTGAGCATTTAATTCCATGGTACACTCAGGATCCATGCAGTGCTCTGTGTCTTACCTTTAAGGTGTAGGAGTTGATGTCAGCCTTGCACGCATTTAATTTAAACTGCTGTCCTTTTAGACCATACTCAAAACACGTAATAGAAGGTGATATTATCCAAAGGTCTCTGAATGGCCTTGTTTACTGCCACTGAAATACTGGTGACTTTAGCCTTCCTATAGAGTATTAACAAGCAGCACCCTGAGGTGAGTTCAAGTGACGAAATAGGCCTGTGGTACATTACAGACGACTCATCAAAATGCAGTGATGATGGGGTAATTCACTGGAACAAAAGTGTGAAAGGCTCTACAGTGATAACTGGCAAACCTTAGGTGTCTGTGAAGGAACACAGGCAGGCCCTGGGGACACTCCCAGACGAGGACAGCAGTTCCATTCTCAAAAAATTAGCGTTTCTTCTCTAAGAAATGTACATTTACTATTAAGTGATTATAAGACTGAATCTAGGGGACTCAATTTCATTAACAAATAATTAGAATTAACATTGCAAAATATTTTCCCTAACTAGGAACATACTGACGTGAAGATTTTATGGATGTACAAGAGCTTCCCAGGATAACGAGAAACAAGGTAAATAGTTTTTTTCCCCCTGCATTGTTTAGCCTGGAACAAATATTTCTCATGTGAAGTCAGAGAGCTATGGGAGGAAGAGCAGGCTCTAGAATGAGGAGACTGTTATACTCTCAAATCTGATGTTATATGGCTTTGAGTTATGACATTGTCTCCTTGGAGCTCCAGTTTGTCTATGACATTATTAGTCTATTACCTATATAAGCAGTGTAGCTACAGAAGATGTTTAATATATAACACATACATGATACGTGCCCTCCCTGACAAGAACCAGCAAGTAAGACATATCTGCTATTTCATTACAGTGTAAGGCAGTGTAGGATTAAGAATCAAAATGACTTAGCCAGAGCAATTGGGCAAGAAATAAAAGGCATCGTAATTGGAAAAGAAGTAAAACTGTCTATTTTCAGAGACAGGATTTTCTATGTAGAAAATCCTAATAAATTTAGTAAAGTTGGAGAATGCAAAATTGACCTACAAAATTCAGAAATATTTCTAACATTATCTGAAAAAGAAATTTACAACAGCTTCAAAGAATATAAAATACTTGGACACAAATTTAACCAAGGAAGTGAAAGATCTCTACACTCAAAACTATAAGATATTGATAAAAGAAATTAGACACAAATAAATGGAAAAGTATGTGTTTATGGATTAGAATATCATTAAAATGTTGATACTACCCAAATACATTTATAGGTTCTATATCAATCCCTATCAAGATTCCAATGGCATTTTTTATGTAAGTAGAAAAAAAAAATCTTAAAATTTATATGGAATCACAAATGGCCAAAGTAATCCTGAGAAAGAACAAAGGCATTACATTTCCTGATTTCAAGCTATATTATAAAGCTATGGAGGTCAAAACAGTATCGTATGGGCATAAAAACAAACATATAGACCAATGGAATAGAATTGAGTGCCCAGAAATAAACCAATGCATAGATAGTCAACTAATATTTGACAAGCGAGCCAAGAATACTCAATGGAGAAAAGACACAATAAATGGTGTTGGGAAAATTATCATTTCACATTTAGAAGACTGAAACTAGGCCCTTATCTTGCATCTTCACAAAAATTAAGTTGAAATGGATTAAAGACTGGAAACTACAGATCTCCTAGAAGAAACCATAAGAAAAAAGCTCCTTGACATGGGTCTTGGCAATGAGTTTTTGGATATGACACCTAAAGCAACAAAACAAACAAGTAGACTGCATCAAACTAAAAAGCTTCTGCAACCTGCAGAATGGAAAAACATATTTGCAAACTAATCTGATAACGGGTTAATATCTAAAATATGTAATCAACTCAATAGCAAGACAACACTGCAGTGCAATTAAAAAATGGGCAAAGGATCTGAATAGACATTTTGCCAAAGAGGACACGCATCAGATGATTAGTGGCCAACACCACTAATCATCAGAGAAATGCAAATCAAAACCACCATAAGCTGTCACCTCGTGCCTGTCACGAAGAGAAGTGATAAATGCTGGTGAGATCACAAATTGGTGCAGCCACCATGGAAAACAGTGCAAAAATTAAAAACAGAACTACTACCCCATGACCCAGCATTTCCACTTCTGAGTATCCGAAGGAATTGGAAACACCATATTGAAGAGAGAGTTGCACCGCCATATTCTTAGCAGCCTTATTTACAACAGCGAAGACATGGAAACGACCTACGTGTCCATCGTCAGATGAATGGATAAAGAAGTTGTGGATTACATATGCAACCTGTTGTATATGTATTCTACTATGACATTGTAGAATATTATTCACTCATAAGAATGAAGGAAATTCTGCCATTTGTGACAACATGGACCTTGGGGGCACTACACTAAGTCAGACACAAAAGGACAAATATTGTATGATTCTCTTATATGTGGAATCTAAAAAAAAA